TTACATTGAATATTACATATCAACATCGGTTTGGACTGTATAATAAAAGAGTGATGTACTGAAAAATAACTTCAACTTTGATTTGAAACTAGATATCAAATTTCAATTAAAACTATTTTCTAAACAATGGATGCAAAATAATTTCTAAATACTTCTTGAACTGTTAGAAGATCAATAAACTCGTGTATTATCGACTTTCTATAATAGCAATGTTTATGCTTGGATTGTTGCCAGAAGTTATATTTGTGGGAATCTCATCACTTTACTCTATACTTTTCTAAGAATTAGTGTAAAACAGAGCATGTGCATTTGAAAAATATAGTGCACAATTGTTAAAATAGTGTAGATTTATTGAAAAGAAGATTAAAGATATATTCCGTTTTGAAGTCATAGTTTCAATTTTATCTTTCAATTGTCTGGTCTACCATGTACTGAGTATCTGTAGAGATAATAAATACAGAAAAAAAAATGAGTTGATTTAAATCAATTGGGAAATTATTTCATTGAGTTATGCCGCAATGCATTACTTACATCTCGAACTCCTTGACCAATGATATTCTTCGACTGAAGATTCAAGACTGCTATAGTTTATACTGATCAAAAACTCACATTTACTGAATTTTTTCATCATGAATTTTAATTTTATCATGGTGTGATATTACTATCTTCAATGTTGGCTAATAAAAGTCAATATGCAAATGATTGAATATTAAAGTTACTAGTGAAAAATAGTCAGAGATCATGATAAATATGGAAATTTTTCAACTTTTCATCTCAAATAAATATCGTTGTATTTTCATCTTCTGTTCAATATAAAATGTCTAGCCATTACTCTTTGAAAAGAAAAAGAATAATCTTGCCTTTTGACTACCTTTCAGTATAGAATGCTGTTCAAGGATAGTTTCTAACATCCAATATTTTTCTACAACAATTACCAATTGCAATTCTGGACAAGATTTGGTGTGGGTATCAATCGTCAAAAGCCTCAGAAATTCATACCGGTGCCAATGACCACATCCGTAACGAATTGTGTCGGCAATAGTGTCAAATTGGACATTAACAAAGTACGTTTCATATTACAACTGTGTACAGAACGATTCACATAAAAATGTGATTGATCACGATTAGCGAAAAGCTCTACTGAACGTGTTTGAAAAAGGTTTCGCAACACATGCTGATTCAATTAATAGATTTTTTTTGCCAATTACATGCACTCAAGACAACAAAAATCAAATATTATTTATTCTGACAGAAAAGAAAAAAAATATATGTAATTATTGAAATCTCATCTTGAGGATGGGTTGTGGGTGTAGATGTTGGTATCAATGAATGAGAGAACAACTACCAACATCTACACCCATCCACATCCACATCCAAAACAGAAACTCCTAAGCCATAGAAAGTGTACTCACTAGGTGAAGTTACATTTATGGCATTTGGAATATCTCTATAGAACTTAAAATGTCGAGCAGTGATGTTGGATATATTAATATGTAGAGTGCCTACGATTGTATTAGTTGAGCAAATATCATGACTAGAAACATTAGTATCAGATAATAGTGAAATATACAATGAATTTTGAAATATGCAACGCATAACAATCTCGTTCTTCTCTATCCGGTGGACATATCTGATAACGATATCATGATATATAAAGCTTGAATGAAGAAAATTTTAAAATATTTCATTCTTCTCGGTAAAATGACTTGTTTCATATACAGTGCATTTACATTTGGCGGATTTCAGCATAGAAGTGTGTTGAGAAAGATTACAAGTAATGATGAGAAAAAAAAGCAGCTCTTTGTGTGTTACTTGCGAATCAATGACGAGAATATCCACAACTATATCCAGATAGCCATACTCGTAATTCGAATCACTTCAGCTATCATATGAAAAACTTGGTTTCCCATCTCATAACTCATTTCTAATTCCTTCATATATATAAAAAGAAAGTGATATGGTTCGATGGGTCAAAGTATTTTCTATAAGATCCGAAAATATCTCAATCGACCAACAAACGGTTGCATTATAGTATTTACAATGCTGACACTACTATCAACCATTTTTTAAGGTAGAAAAGGATTTAGAATATTTCGAATCAATAAGTAAATCTTGTTTGGGTAATTTGGAGGGTGTAGGTGGATTAGTTGAAGGAGAAGACCCCCATCTACATATTTGTTTTTTGTCACGTCACCATTATTTTGACAATGTTATCAAAGGCATAAAATGATCTGTAGACGTAAGAAATATTGTAAAAATATACAATTCCATTTGAGCTATCCTTATACAAATAACAAAAATATTTTTTATTCAAGATTGTGTAAGAAACTGCAGCATCGACACCACTAGTTTTGACATACGTTGACTTAAAATGAAGAAAAAAAATCATTGTTAAAATTGCCTATAGTCGATAAATCTTCACTTCTTTATATAATCAATTGAAAACTTCAGTCTGATTCTAAATATAAAAGCATGGTCTCGGTATAGTGCATGTGGTCATCGTCCAATGATGCAAATTGCATGAATATAGAGCAGAACTTGTTGAGAAGTTTTACTCTGAACAATATACGTGGTATTGCTCGTTGACTTTTTATCTTAAAACTAAACTAAATAGGTCATTTAGTGATCTAAATGGTAAAATCAGGTCATGCTAAACATCTACAATATCAATCTACGGTGTTCTGCATACAAGAAAAGAAAAAAACAGAAGGGTGTGGGTGTGGGGGGGGTGTGTGTGTGGGGGTGTGAGTATGGCCTTCACATTAACAATTACAACACCCATACCCACACCCACACTCACACCCACACCCACACCCAGACCCCACACCCACACCCACACCCTCATTTGAATAATTTTTTACTCTCCGATAAAATACCAAGTTTGCTCTTTCAACGTGGTAAAGAGAATAAAGAATCCTTTCGATTCTTTTTCATTTCTTTGAAATCGATGCACGTAAACATTGAAATAATAATAACGAAACATTTCATTGACTCGACTGAGGATGGGGAGTGAGTGTGTGAATGCGAGTATGGGTGTGGATGTTGATTAGTTTTTCTCCATCTCTTCATCTACACCCACATCCTTGCCCCGATTCCTCGCCTCGTTTCGGTCTCTGTTCAGGACTAATACAGCTCTCTATCCTAGAGTTTTATTCAAATACCCTATTAACCAGAGGCTTTCATTGCTATTTAAAATTCCAGTGAAGTGCAAGTTTGTAGACTCTAGAGAAAGAAAGATTTATAATTATTTCATTCCATATCATCAATTAACTCTTAATATAGTAAAACGAATTTTCTATGAATTTGAAAATTTTCTCGCTCCTATTAAAATCGATAAACGTC